CTAATGAATTTAGTTCAACGTTTTAATATTTTTACCTACAACTGTTTTTTTTTTTTTTGTTTTTTTAAGTAGATCAGTTTTTAGAATTAAAAAGTTTCACATAACAGCATTGTTTACTTTCATAACAGCATACTTTTACTCATAACAACGGACCAATGAGGTTCAAGGCTTGAGAGAGAAGAAGTAAAGTGGTAATGATTTGAACTTCAACTAATCAGCTGTTCAGGCCAATTTAATTGTGGAGTGGTGCATTTAGTGTTTGGTTCAATGTTTTGTTGCATCACTGTCAGTGCCAATGAGAGGTTATAAACGAAAACATAACATCTATTAGAAGTTATGAGTAGTGATTTTAAGTAATTAAAACACTGCCGTAGGTAAAGTAGTGTACGCAACTTGCGTAAATAGTGTTAATGACACTCGTAGAAGTTTTTAAGGCATTTAAATTTTCTACTTGTGTCGTTAACACTAACTCTATGCAATTGTTGCGTAAACTACTATTAGGTAACCTAAATTAGGAACATGGATAAGCAAGTATTATATTGTTTGGATTTTTAATCAATGCATTTATTTAAATTTTTCAATCTATTTCCATCATTGTGTTGCAGAATCTAGACAAGGTGATCAAGCAGGAGCCGCTGGATCCTGACATGAAAGACGATGAAAGATCACGTGACAGAGATCGTGATAGGGACAGAGACAGAGATAGGGATCGTGACCGTGATCGCGACAGGCATCGTGATAGAGACAGGTGAGGTGACGACTCTTGCTTGTTCAAAATAGTGGCTTACAAGTCAATGGGTTTCACAGTTTCAATCAATAGACAGTCTAGAGTGGTGTGTGTTTGGATCTAAGAAATTGGGAAATAAATCGTTAGGAAATGTTTATTAACTATAATTCTAATCTTTGTATACAAAAACAAGAACATATTAGTAGACTAGTTGTCATGTAATTTGTGAGCGAGGTTTTAGCCCAAGATATAGATGGATGAGTCAAACTACTTAGAGTTATTTTGCTTGAAATCTCATGGTTATTGTACAAAAAATTTGACTTGAATTATTTTGTTGTTGTTTTTGGTAATCATCAAACATTTTGGTATAATTGATTTTTCATAAACAACTTAATGAACTTTTTAGGTGGGTACAAATCTTGAATGAGTCATGTGACTGGAACTAAGAAACAAGAAAATGAGACAAATAGTAAAATACCAGGGGGGTCAGCTCGTCTTTACCGTCCACTTGAAGCAGCGCTAATTTGTTTACAGGGCTTCATTTTGTTTGGTAAGGTTAGGATTGTCAGTTTTATTTTATATCTCAATTTGTTGATTAAGCTTTTATTTCCCTAGACACCGACATCGGTCCAGAAGTAGATCGACTGAGAGGAGATCAAGGAAACATAAAAGCCGAAGTCGCAGTCCTGGTCACCGAAGCCACAAGAAGAAGAAGTCTAAGAAATCTGATCGCCAGAAAGACGAAACCAGTGATTGAAGCATGTACATAAACTCTCAGTCTTAATCTTGTTTTTACTATTAGGTTTATATCTGTATTTTGAACCTCTTATTTTAATGTCTAGGGTATTCTACAAAATGTCATTTATTTGTAGTAAACTGTTTGTTATAAACTAGATTGTGTAAATTGATTGATTTCCAAGTGTTGTTGGGTTTGGAATAAAAAATTCAAAATACTACTATAATTATGGCATAATTAATCACTATTTGTACCTCTTACTTGTCTCCATCTTATTATTTTTATTTGTTCAGGAATTAATGATGGTTTGGCGTAAGTACTTCAATTATGTAGTAAAGTTTAACCCTTTGAGTGCCTCGAGCGGGTGAAACAATTTTATTTGAGGTTTGCCAGGCCTACATATGGTGTTGCTTCTAGGAATGCCAGACTTTTCTCCACATAAATGTAGGTGTTTAGGAAAATCGTCATAAAATACTTATTTATTAACATTTTGGCCTAAATTTGTTTTGTTTTGTAGATTATAAGATTGTGCATTGTAAAATACTAATTTTAGTTGGTGGTTTCATGAGTTAAAATAAAATATTTTCATGTACAAGACAGAAATATGGTGCAGTTTATTCTCATTTTCAAAGATTGAGTTAAATTAACATAATTTAAAATTATTCATTGTTGTAGATTGAATGAATAAAACAAAATTACCTTTAGTTAGGCTTTACTGAACAAAAAAATCTAGCATGATATAAAGCGTTAATATGAACCGCCTAGCATCATACTAAAAAACAATTTCTAAACATTTGAACAGATGCTACAATGTACAGATAGAAAGGAATTATTTGACATTCAAATTTACATCCATTTTAAAGAGCATTAAAAACTAAAGAGAAATCATGTATAACAAGTGTATTATGTCCAAAAAATATGTAACATCTACTACAAAGAGGTCTCAAAACATTCTAGGCCCTACCAAGGCCCCAATAGAAAAACAGGCCATGCTGCAGGATCCATGACGTCACATTAGTGGATAGATTCACTGCCATATCCCATACGTTTTAGGTAAATAAACTGGCTGTTTGTCAGATTTTAATGGTAAGATTTTAGTACAACTATCCACCACTGTGACGTAGTGTTGCGCTGCAGTATGGCCTGTTTTTCTAGTGGGGCCTCGGCCCTACCCAGCAAACAACCTAAATCATGCTCTAAGTCTTGTGCTGTTACAGACTAAACTACCGGTATATCATTTTACATTTGACTGTATTTTATGTGTTTATTTTTTTTTTATTCGAATTACTATTAGAAGCTGTGCACAAAATATACAAACGGTCAAAATAAAATCATGCACCTATAGGCCTAAGTTACCAAGTCCAGTTGCCGGTACAATTTATGTGATTAGCCACAAACTATCAAACACACGAATAAGTTGTGGTGTTATAACTTTTTAAAGGTATACAATTTATTTTTTTAACAATTCATGACCATAACCTGCAATTCTATAACCAAAACAACTCGTTAACAACCATTTACTAGAACTAGAACGTAAACAGTCGAAACATTAACTCACGAACCAGATGTGTAAAGCAGTCTAATATGGCGTAGTGGTTTCTGATTGGTCGACCACATTTCTCAGCTCCATTGTATAAAAAAAAGTAAAAGAGCAAAATAGTTGTTGCCAACCAACTTCTGTCGTATTTGGTGTGATTTGTAGCTAGCTTTATTGAAATGTGATAATGTATGAAGTGATTTTCTGAGCATCTCGCTCCGAGATGCCGGCATTTCTTGCACAATCTCGACTGTCTCGCTACAAGACGCTTGGCATTCAAGCTACAACACTGTTGCGTCTCGTGCGGCTGCACTCATAGGGTTAAATGAACATTTTAAACAAATATGTTATGAACAAACAATAGCACTTGTATTGTTTTTCTAAATTAAACTTCTAAAATTTTGGGAACTGGCTCGGTTTCTACTTTTCAGCCCACCATCACAAAAACAAATTCTCAGAATTTTTATTTCTATGCTGGGTGAGTTTTGGTATCTTAAGGGAACAGTCTAAAAACTACTCTTTCTAACATTTATCTCTCATTACCATTGCTTTTAAAAAGCTACTGGATCAATGATAACTGTGTGATAATAAATCTTTCTCAGATTCAAATTAAGAAAGATAATAAGTTGAAGAACTTATTCCTTATCACACTCTGCAAAGATGTTCTTGAGTGTAGATTGAAATTCAGTATTTCAGTCAAGAACTCAACTAGTTTCAGCGGGGTTCCAGGAATGTTTTTTTAACTTCTGAATTTGACTTCATATGTTAAGTCTTGCAAATTTTGCTGAAAATCCGGTTAATTCTTAATCAAAGGCATCAGAGGATCCTGTAAATGGTATAGAATTTCGACAACTTTAGTCATAACTGTATGATGGAACTTGTCTCCTCACCCTTCAGGTAGACACCTGGACTGGCTCTGGTCATAAACCTTTGTATAGTCCTGGGCGAAATGGAGGATCAGGAGACAGGTTCCACCATACAGAGTATACTCAGTAACGTAGCCAGGATTTCAAAATAGGGGGGGTCGACCGACCGGGAAGTCCAGGTAAAGGGGGGGTCCGGGAAATTTTTAAAAATATAGACCCTAAAACGGTCTTTTTTAGCTCTCTTGGCATTGAAAATAATTAACTCCAACTTCAATACAGTATGATTATATAATTCTACATAACAAAAAAATATTATATTTAAGACCAGAAGGGGGGGGTCCGGACCCCCCCCCCTGGCTACGTCACTGGTATACTGTACCACTGTGTGATAACAGCAACATTAATGGCTAACTCCACTTTCCTCTTATCCACTATAGCATTGTTTTAGTAATGTATGGCTAACACAATTATAAATCGTCTTAATTCTGATTTCTTTGTTCATGTGTCCACAATCTTAAGTTTTTTTTATCAAAATCATCAAATCAGTTAAATTTGTAAATCCAAAATAAAATGCCATGATTACATCCATTTGGAAGCATTGGATGTCCTTTCATTTGGAAGAGAACTCAACTAAAAAAACTGAGAACTATCTATGTGCCTGAAATCTGCTGCATTGAGGGAGGAAAGTCTCACATAAGTTATGGTGTTGTGTTCACTAATATTTTTAAGTTCATGCCTTATCCCAAGTCTGGAGCCTGTACTGTAGCTCGATAGATAGTGATATAGATCGAGGATTCAAATTTGAATCTCACCATTCACTTTCTGAGGCAGAGTTAGTAGAAGAGCTCCTAAAACACTTCATTCTTTTAAGTTTGAACAATGCAACTTGAAAGGCATATTTTTGAAATCACACCATTATTGTGTGTGTGTGTACAAAAAATTGGTTTTTTATTAATTTTTGCGTTCACACTACAGGAAAGATTTATTTTTATAATATGATGAATATGTGAAAATGGCCATATAAAATCTATGAATAATCCTTAGCAATAACAAGATTAAAGTCAAATTAATTTTTAGGACATGTTGGTGCAGTCAATAAGATAAATATTTACATTAAGTATTATATTTATTGGTCTAGTATACATATATGCAATTTTACTAAATATAATTGGTGTAATATCTACAATGAATAGCGGGACATTAATCTTTACAATAACAACATACAATAACCACATCATATCAATCATTATGCAATACATTTCATTAAAACTGGCAAGTAAAGGGCATAAACAATTACATATAACAATTGCTTGTGTATAAATAAAAAAGGACACAAACTTCACAGGAAATTTTATAACAAGATAACAAAAGTTATATAAAATAATATACACAGCCGTTTGGTATTTGATTTTTAAGTACCAGTATGCTATAGTCGATGGCTATAGTTATACTCTGATAAATAATTTAGATTTACCGATCTTCACAAAAACTTTACAAAAGATACAATTATTTTAAGTTTTACATATTATGCATATGACAAAATATAAATATTACGTTTAAAACGTGTTTTATATCTAGCTGCTTTAATTAAAATTATAATCAACTGTATTAGGCTGTTGTTTATCACACAACAGTAGTTAACATTTTTCATAATGCACACTTTAACTCTAATGTTCAAGAGGACCAACCAAATTGGTTTTAAATATCATTTTCTTTTGGAATTATTACAAAAATTTTAGTGAGGCTGAATTAGAGAGTAATGAACGTGCAAATTTCAAAAGAATAGTTTGAGTTCCAGCAAATACTTCACAAGGCTACATAAAGGAACATTTTGAAGGAATATTAAAGTATAATATCACAAAATCAAAATAAATATTATCGAGTCGTTTTTACAATAAGTAAATAGATTCATTATAATACTTAGCATATGTGTTAAAATATTACCACATTTCTATTGTGATCAATAGGAATTTAGAAATTGCTTGTTAGTTACTAGCTAGGTATTATGTAACAATTTTCACTGAGAACCTAAATACACAGCTTAAAATAGTATTAAATAATATTTCTTTGTACTAACATTTTTTTAACCTAACATATTCACACAATACATTTCTTTTAAAATAAAATCATGAATTTGTTTCACTGATGTCTCAAATTCATAATGGGTTGAACTCAGTGCAGAATTATTTCAGTTAGTGAAAACCTGTGTATAAAACTCAACTGTTAGAGAACCTCCAAAGATTCTGTACGAATGATAAACTCATGCAACAATAATTTAAGCATGTTTAATCATGCAACAACAATACAAAATAGCATCCTATTTCTCATCATATGAAATAAAATTATCAGTAATGTTTGGACTTGTACTCAAAGCATATAAACCTGATATCAAAGAGCAAAAGCCCTTGGGGAAAAGATAAAACAATCAATGCTAAATGACTAGGCCAACCTATCTACCGACTAAAACTTACTGTAAAATGTTCTTTGGTGATACAAATTATTGTCTGATTAACCCAATTGAAAGATTTTCAAATGATCTAATAATGTAAATTTATTTAGTTATCTAACATATTGTTGCCAATTTTAGACATTACATATAAAAAACCGTCTTTAAAACAACAAATGTCTATTATTTTACTAAATTACTTACGACTGAATAACACAGTAGGATTAAAAAGCGTTATTTAAAAACTAATAAAGCTTCTAGTGCCAAAGATAATATTGTTTCCCAGATTTGACATTAGTTAGGTTATAGGCCCGCCATGTATGTGTAACAGCAATACTAATAATAATTTTAATGTGTTTCAAAGCTCAAGATAACATCTGTTGTTTCTAGGCTTATAGTCACAACATAGGCAGGATAGATCACGACATGTTTATAGTATTTTTTTAGACTCAAGACAAAGTCAAATACAAAACTATTTTTTTTAATCAATATTATTTCCAACATTCAACTAAGAGATTTCACTTTAATCTTTAAATCCATAAACAGAATATTTTCGATTATGTTCAACTCTAGCAAAAATTAGCTCATAGCTGCAAACCTTGAAAATTATAGCCTATCCAAAATTTTGAACGATTTAAATTGCCACAGGCGGTTTCAAGCATAAGGAATGTAAAGTCTAATATAACCTTAATCGTTAGGCTAGCAATCTAACATTCAACCACAAAGAGATAGATCTAAACTACTCATGTATAAACTACTGTAGTTGCCCAAAGAATAGATTAGAAAGCTCACACAATGCATCAACATTAATCAACAAAAAACTGATTTTAGTAGACACACATTTGAATAAATTCTTCACATCATGTTTCAACAATTTTAACAAGTTGAACAGAATAAAACAATACAGAAGCTCCATTAACAATCTCAGATATTAATAACAATAACTAGTCATCTAACCGCCTTATTTTGAAATAGGCTACTCTACTTAAATACAATAGGGATGTTTTGTTCGAAGTATTACATTTGAATTTTACTATTGGATAATTATTGGGGAGGTATTGTTCGCCGAGGGGTCATGGGAGGGGTGGGTGTTGCTCTTGAAGGGATTGGAGGAGGGACACCAGCTCTGGGTGGAACAGGGGGTGGCGCGGGACGTGCTGCTTGCGGAGGAGGAGGAGGTAGCTGTCGTTGAGGTAGGGGAGGGGGGTTCTCAACATTCCAACCTGGAGGGGGTGGTGGTGGTCCCGAAGGAATCGGAGAGCTCTCAAACTCCTCACTAGGTATCTCTTCATAGATAGCAGAGCTTTGATCTACCTTGTTGTACTCAACACTTGGGGCTTCTGCTTTCGTGAACGCTCCACCAGGAATAGGCTCTTGATAGGCGTTAGCATCTACTTGAGGCTGAGGTGGTCGTGGTAAGACACTAATGACTCCGGCCTTGGGTCGCTGCATCATAGGTTGCGGGGGGCGACTAGGAGGTAGGCTCCGAGGAGTTTCTTCGCTGGGAGTCGCTTGTCCACTTCTTGACTCAGGTTTTTTCAAATTCGCTTCGACAGGCAGTGGTTCCCTATAGTCACACAGAGGGACAGTGTTGTTGCTGCAAAGCATTGTTTCTTTTCGAGTAACTTCTTGCCAGTTTGGAGTCTTTAGAGTTAGTGTTAAATTGTGGCCGCATATTTGAGTTTTTCCTTTTTTGGCAGCCACTAAAGCGCATTGTCCGTCTCTAAAGGTGACCCACATAGTTTCTTCAACAAATCTAACGAGAATCACTTCTCCGATTTGAGACAACTCCTGCAACAGTGCCATCATAAAATTGTCATCAAAGATTGATGAATCGTCTTCATTTGATGGTGAACCATCAACATGGACGATGATTGTAGCATCAGGTGGGCCGAGGTCTTGGATGACTTCCATAAAAACTCGGTCCCGACGACATTTGTCTACTTGAAAAATGTCTACATCAATAATCGCAATGACTGGCCTGTGGTCACTTTGTTTCAACTCAGATCGGCCGTAGTATACAAGACGACCTGGACTCCAATTTCCATCAGCTTCTGGAACTTGTTTTCTTCTCTTCCAAAGAACTCTATCCGTCCAAGCAGGGGCTCTGCATTTTTCACTTGTATCATAATCATCGGAGAATAAATCATATTTGTAAGTGGGAGGAAAGGTGATTGGGCCCTCGATAAAATTCTTGAAGGCATTGCCAGCTTTTTGTTCAATTATTAATTGGTCGTTTTGAAGAATTTCGTCATAAGCTTTCTTCTTTATAAGCTCTTTCATCTCGTCTTTGTCCATGTTGACTCGATAATTAAAGTCACCGCACCAAAACACGTAGTCGTGTGAGTTCAAAGTTCTTCCCATTGGAAAACTAACTTTACGTGTTATTTCTGCGTAATCTGCATTGCGGTCTGTGACTTGGTTCTGGCCAGCTGCAAAGTGAGCACAAACAAAGCAGAGTGAAGTTCCGTAAAGGACAAAGCGGATTGCTGTGGCTCCTTTGTTTCCCGTAGCACCACCCAAGCCGGTTTTGACTGAGTCAGTTGCAACGTCTCTGATAAACGGAGCCTGTTCGGGTTTAACAAAGAGGAAAAGACACACTCCTACAAGCTGAACATAAGTCAACATCACATAATCTCGATCTCTAGACAGTATCTTTTGTAGCTCTTCAGCCCACATTTCTGCATTTTCTGAACTTGCAGCCATGATGTTACTGGCATTCAAATCAACAATTTCTTCAAAGCCTACAGCAAATATGTCGACTGGTGTTCCATCATTTTCATCTACAAGCGAATGAGAAGAAGCTTCACTAGGATCGAGTAGCCAGTCTGACAGAGATACGTCTTTGTATACGACACTTCTGAAGTGTTTTCCACCATTGACATTGTATGTTCCAATAGCGACTCTGATTCTTTGAGGATGAATGTATTCTCCTGAACGTTTGCACATTTCTCTCAAGACGTTGGTTGGAGCATGAAGCATACTTCTATCCAGCAAAATCCTTGCACGATCAGCGAGTTCACTGTTCAGTGTGTTACCCAGCAACAAAACATCTATAGCTTCTTGTTTGCTGTTGTCTAATAGGTTATTTTGGATTGTCCGAGCAGCTGATCTTGCACCATCCATGAGTTTAGAGCCTCCTTGGATAGCACCTGTTCCTGCATATATTTTACTGACTTCATTACCATTGTTTACCCACATCTGGCGGAAAACTTCTTCAAATCTTGATACAATTTGTTGCTTCTCGTGCAGGCTCAGTAGTTCTAGCTGTTTGCTCAAAATCAGCAGTCCAATAAATGTCTGAACACAGTTGGTTCTGTCAAGACAATCCAAACAATTTGTTCTTAATGTTCCCCTTTGTTCTTGTAGTACCTCATCTTCTTTAGAATAAAAGAATGAATATGCTTTCAAGTAAGCGTCCATTTTAGCTTTAAGTTTACTGAGATTTTTAGTATTTCCGCCTCTGCACTCTTGATGATAATCAAAAACAATATGAGGTACATCATTATGATGCTCTGACTTGTGATGGTGGCTTTGAAAAAGCTGACTTAGCATGGCCTCACCTTCTTTGCTGCCAATTAAGCTAGTTCCAAGCAGGTTAACAATTGCTTGGTGGCCGTATCTTTCCTTGATGTACATAAGGTGTTTGCTGAATGCAGAATCTGAAGACTCCGGTCCTCGTGACATTTTCACTTTGTGAGATCCAACTTGAACTCCGGGTTGTTCCCAAAAAAGTGGTACAGATCCTCTAATTTGAAGGTATGAAGTAACTTCATTTTCCATGTATATGGCCTGTTCTGTTTCCACAAAATTTGCGACATTTCCGTCGTCATTGACACCTCTGACATTAAACCGAGTCCCAGCTCTCTCGCAGCTGAGTCTGGATATAATAACTGCTCGACCCTGACGATGACCTACATAGACTGTCCTTATTTCAACACTTCCACACATAATTTTTAGAAGCCATTGAAAACAGCTTACGCCAAAACGCATCAAGTGGATGTGAAGCATACGATTCCAAAAGAACCTGTTGTCTGTGAATGTTGTTTTGCAGCGCCTCTGGGCACAAAGGGTTATATCTATTGGTTCAACAGTTGATGACCAAGAGAAGTAAAACGTCCCAGAGTTCAGGAGTTTTCTGACTTCCGATATTCTTTCTTCATCTTGCTGTTGATTCCGAAGGGATATGAAATTAGTTTGTGTTATTCTAAATATTTCAGAATCTTTTATTTTACCGACTGATATGCACCCAGTTACCATAACTAGGTAAAGTAATGTGTTTTCTCCAGCATTTAAGTTTAACACTCCTAGACAGCCATATGCATCAAGCAGCTTGGTATATTGCCTTTTAACAGATTCCGTTTCTTGAGCTGATAAAACAGCTACAGCTTGAGATTCAAATAAAATAGAGTCATCCTTATTTCGTTGCTCTAACAAAACACTGTAGGGATTTGGAGGATTTACTTTTTCAAACACACGGAAACTTTTTCCCATAGCCATGATGAGTAAACAAGTATCAATATCAGTTACAGGCAGTAACAGGGTAATTTTTAGTTTATAACTATTGGTTTCTTAAGTTCACGCTGAAATATTTGATCAAATCAGCGAAGCTAAAGTTCCATGTCCAAATACCTCCACAAATACCTAACACGGATATAAATTTCAAAATGAATAGCCTAATATCTTAGCACTGGTCAACTGAGCGGTTATTCATGAGTGGAAAATTTCATAGTGAATGTTGACAGTTTATTTAGGCCATGTAATTCTAATAAATCCAACTTTGAGAGCACTAGAGTACATGACGGGCTACTTAGCCTAAATTACCAGTATGATCCTTCAAAGCGTTTGCCAGTAATCATTACTCTTGAAACAAAAAATTATCACTGAACCAATAAAAAAAACGAAAACAAATAATTACTTTATAAAATTATTTTAATAGATTATTGAATAAACTGCTTATTCCTTCTGAATTATTTTCTTCATCTTCAATGCACTTGTTTAGTAAATTTTCCCATCTGTTTTTTAACAATTTTGACAGCCACAGTACTGATCACCTCACTAGTGATCCACAGCTGGAAACAGTACAAACGGAACCCCAAAGACCAACGAAAATGCCACAAAGCAGTTTTTCCTATTTAGTATAACCATTGACTAAGCAACGCAAGTCTAGTCTTATTGAGCAATTCACAACTTGTAATCAAACTGTAAAATTGGTGTAAAATTGGTGTTAGCAAATAGATAAACAAAGTAGACTTCTCCTCATCCCATTGTAAATTTTGTAGCTCATTTTAGTGCTTCATCTTGTGTAAATTTCATTTTAGTGAATTTCCCTATATGGAAGTAGCTATTACCGTAGATGGCACGGTAAGACCTAGGCCCGGGGCCGATTTATTTTTTCATTTTGATGTCCTCACTCCCCAGAGGCCAAAAACACAATTCGTGCAAATTTTTATGTATCAATATTTAATGCACACATACACACACACATCTAATTAAATAATCTAATTGAATTTCAGTATCACTCATGTTATTCAATGCAAACAATTTTTTGAGGTCTAGTGTTAAAAGTTTGATTATCTATTAAACAATTTGTTTATTTTTTATTATACAACTATGTATGTATACTTGTATATGCATTTAACATGACATTATTGTATATTTCATGTTTTAGATCTAAGTGGTGACGATTGTCAATACGCACTGTATTTTTTGTGTTTCAATGACAATAAATATTCTTGATTCTTGATTCACACAGATATCACTTCGAAAACCATCCAGAGAGACCCAAAACGAATATATCATCTCAAAACTCAAACTCTAAAATTTTGACGAAAACAATACTTTCTCCATATACTATGGTAAAGGGGGAGAAAGTAAAATTGTAAATTTAAAATTCTCGTGTTATTGTTATGGAGAATATTGTAACATGTAGTAGTTTGCTTGTTTGTGGATATTATATTTTGATCAAACTTGGCAAATTTATTTATTTTATACATTATAAGTCATTAATAATATTATTTATTTTATAAGTCATTAATATATTATTAAAAAGCACACTTTATTAGTTTCCTTGTAGCAGCAAACCTAGGTACTCATTAAACCTAATGTTTTTTTTAAATAGATTTAATTATGAACCAAATGATGACTAATGACTTATTAAAAATTTATTCGGACAAATGGGAATTCGCTTAGTTGGAAGGTTTGCTGCGGCGGGGGTATTATGTAAGTATGTCCTTGTTCGTGAATGTACCATATGTGTATCGACGACCTTCTGATGAAGTGATTATTAATTGACATCCACTGGACGCCTGAAGATGTCTTCTTCATGAAGTCTAAACGAGTTGCGTGACATTAATTGCGACTATTGGATTACTAGAAGCAGGTATTTAAACCAATTTATATATTCAACGTAATTTGGAGGCTAACATAAAAAATGTTTATCAAAATGTTTATTGAAGGTTCCGGCATTGAGCACGTTCTGGGAACATGTACCGGTGCACCGGTACATGTTCCCAGAACGCGCCCGATTGGGAAGATGTATAATCAATGGTTCCAGCTTTTGTTTTAGTTGTCTTTGTTAATGACTCAATCTGATCGCCTGCTGACAGTGCTGACTCTGAATCTGATCCTGATCCTGCCCACTGAGCTATCCTGCCTGATCCTGATCAGACTTCAGACAGAGTCTTGACTGATTTCTATTTCTATTTTCATTTTCTGTCTGATGCTAATAGAATCGATGGCGTAGGCGCTGGCGTCTCGGTCGGTAACCCCAAACAAGTACTCTTGTCATGTCATACAAGTAATTAATTGTTCCATGTTTCACAGACCAAAAGCGATTTACTTTAAATTAAAATATTAAGATAGTAAAAAATAATACTCATTTCGGTTTTTAATCAGGCAATTAGTAAAAAGTGATTTCTTACTACCAAAATGAGCGAATTGGACTCGTTGTACGGAAGCTCCATATCCGTGGATACAATGAAAACTATTGCTGAAAGTATTGGTATTGGAAGTCTTCCTGACGAAGGTGCCAGAGAGTTAGCTGAAGATATAACGTATCGGCTAAAGCACGTCATTCAAGTATGGTTTTGCAGTATTTTTCATATCTAGCTTAGGTGTGCTCAAAATTATTCATAGGGTGTCCTAAGTTGTAGGTTAGGTCTATGTTGACTATCCTTATATTGCTAGGCTTACTGCTACTGTCAACCTGAATTGAATTAGAGATGGACATCGATAGGTCAACCATCGATGTTTATCATCTATGCCAACCATCGATGTACGGGGATCATCTTCAAATGGTCCAAAGTCGTTTGGTCCACAGTTTATATTGCCGTTCGTTTGGTCCAAAATCGTTTGGTCCAACAGTTAAAAACTCGTTCGTTTGGTCCAAAATCGTTTTATCCAATTTCATTTGGTCCAAAGTCGTTTGGTCCACAGTTTATTTTGCCGTTCGTTTGGTCCAAAATCGTTTGGTCCAACAGTTAAAAACTCGTTCGTTTGGTCCAAAATCGTTTGGTCCAAAAGTACAGGCCAAACTAGAAGTAAAATGTTGCATTGTAGAGTAAACTTATGAAATATACTGTACGTTTATATTGCCGTTCATTTGGTCCAAAATCGTTTGGTCCAACAGTTGTAAAACAGTTCGTTTGGTCCAAAATCGTTTGGTCCAACACATTAATACGAGTTCGTTTGGTCCAAAGTATAAACTATTGCGTCCCTCACATTGAAGGCGTTCAAATATCCGCCGTCGTATACAATAATAATATTAATACAATTTTTGCTTTAAACGTGTCGACTTTCTATGTTTTTAACGTTAAAGACGCCATGTTTTGTTGTATTCAAACCACTAAAGCGTACATAAACAAACTTAAAGCTCAATAGTGTATCATACGGTTGGAAATCTTATAAATTAACAGTTTTTATCACATTTGGCGACCTTCTAATATACAGGGTGTTCAGTGGACCAACGTGTTTTAAATGTTTATCATACACCTTAATTTGTATTGTTGTACCGGTACCTATTTACAATGGAGTGTTTACTATTGATCATGGTTGTCTATAATTCTTAATCAAAAGGTTAAAATAGAACATGAAAATTACATTAATTAGCCTACTCATATTTTCTGGACGTCCACAATTTCCTGGTAAAAATTTTGTCTTACAGAATTATATATAAGGATCTTATTTTCTTATTTTAAAATTGATGTTCTTCTGTATAATGTCATGTTTAGCAATATAACGTTCCATTACGAACAGTTATATAATCTTAATATTACAGTAACTCTTTCAATCATTTCTTATTGCATTATGTTATATCTATTGTACTGGTTGGTGTCTGCCTTTTTGACTACTTTTGCCGATATTTTGTCTTATTATTCAATACTGACAGATCATCACGAGATTATTGTTATACATGTGTATTTAATCATTGGACAATTTCCCATTATGTAATACAATACAGAATAATAAAAGTGCAGAAGGCTTTTACAGTCTATGAAAATGAATGTTAAATAGGCTACTTTTATTTATCATAGACATATCATTAAGGTACATCAATTATAGGTCTACTCTTTGTGATATGCATAATTGTCTGAGACAAACATTCAGGCACGTTGCCCATATTTTTTTTAAATAATAGTGGTTTTCAGTAACTGGATTACATTTTTAATAATTTTATGAATAAATGCATGATAAGTTATAGAAAGTTATTAATCCTAAATTCCAGTTTATTACATACTTTTAGAGAGTTAACTTTGATGCATTCATTCAGCTTAGTGAAAGAATACACAATGGAGTCAGTGAATGTTATTCAACTAAAGAAGTGATGCGCATGTTTACTGGCGCTACTCAGCAACAAAAATCATTGATCTCTCAAAGTTACTTACCCAGATGGTGACATCAAAAAGGCCCAAACTCCATACTATAAACAGTTTCTCAGACCAGAGTCAATTTAATGCGCTTGAATTGTGGCATTTATTAATTCGGCTTATATTTCTCGTAACCAACAGATTGTTCATCTGCAGAAGAAGTTCATTGTGTTCTTATCGTGTCTAATAACATCCAAACACAGAAACCTTAAATTACAGTAGTACCTATATCTTGACAGATGGTTTGCAGTAGCATCTGAGCCAGTAGAGCCACTGGGGCGGAGCCCGAAAGGATTTTTGGGATAATAATATGCTTTAATATTAATCGGGAATGTGAGCTATCATCATGCCAAATTTAAGCCCAATCCGTCCAGTAGTTTATGCGTGATTGAGCAACACACACACACACACAAACACACACACAAACTCACAAACTTTCAGATTTATAATATTAGTAAGATTAAAAAATAAACCATCTGTTTAACATTAAATGCAAACTCAAAGCAAAGTCAATATTTATCCACAAATCTAGGGAATTAAAACGCGTTGTTTTAAGATTGACTGGGGATAAAAAGTAAACATTACACAAACACATTATATATAAATAAATATATGTATATGTACGTGTATATAATTGCAAACATATCAATTATTTAGAAACATAACACAAAACAACAAATAATAGGCCTCGGAAGGCAGGCGGTTGGGTTGACGACGTGACGGCGATTATTTGAACGCCTTCTATGTGAGGGACGCAATAGTTCATACTTTTGGACCAAACGAACTCGTAATAGAGTGTTGAATAAAACGACCCGATCGAATGGTCCACAGTGAAACGTACAGTCTATTTCATAAGTTTACTCCACAATACACAATCGTAATTCTGGTTTTGCCAGTACTTTTGGACCAAACGATTTTGGACCAAACGAACTGTTTTAAAACTTGTGGACCAAACGATTTTGGACCAAACGAACTGTTTTAAAACTTGTGGACCAAACGATTTTGGACCAAACGAACTGTTTTACATCTTGTGGACCAAACGATTTTGGACCAAATGAAATACTCCCCAACTGGATCATAAAACGATTTTGGACCAAACGAACTGTTTTAAAACTTGTGGACCAAACGATTTTGGACCAAACGAACTGTTTTACAACTTGTGGACCAAACGATTTTGGACCAAATGAAATACTCCCCCAAAAACATCGATGTTTTCTATGACAAAATGTTCTATTAACCCTCCAACTGGCAGCGTGACTAGACCTATACCTAATAGTCCCGGCAGGTGGTTTCTGTAGTGGCAGCAACTATAATAGTCATGTTTTGCAAGTTTTTGGTTAGATAGGCCTAACTCAAAATAAATGGCTAAAAACGATTGTAGAAAGGAATAATTTTCTTACCGTTAGAAAGATAAGAAATCTAATGGTAATTCTGAGCAATTACTTGGTCAACCCCAATTTTTTTCATACTTAACTACGGCCACCAGGATGTTCTTAAAAAACAAGAAACATATAATTTAAGCCCCACAAGTTTAAGTTAAGTTAGGTTATGAATTAACCCAACCTAACCAAACATAACGGTAGGCCTACTGTCGCAACTGGCCTTAGAGATGTTTGTGAAACTAAAAAAAACATAATTCAGTCCCGGAAAGTTAATAGGCCTATATGTCATATAAAAATAGAAATTACCTCAGTAATCGCCGTGTTCAACGTCCTCATCCGAGTCAGCGGCAACTGAATCAGTTTTCTGTAGCGATGGTTCCCTGTTGTAAACTTCACCGATAGCCCGAAACAAATGGTGTAGACTCGATTCTATTCCAACAGTTAAACATGTGTTTTTCTTATTTAACGTCATCGACCCGCTTATTGTGGACACACTTTGGTACGTTGCAAAACGCTGTGTTCGTACAAAAAACGTGTTAACTTTTCCTGATCTTCACTTAAAACCGTGAAACTAAGTGTACCCTAACGAGTTTCTACACCCGTCACATAAAAAAGGATTATTGGAGGAACCACTAGCCATAGCCATAACGGTACTGTCACAACTGGCCTTCCGCGCGTCTCCCGCAAGCCACTGTTATCGCTTGGAATTTTAAAGTTCTTATCACTCTGCAACCTGTACGATGGCCTTGTGGAGCTTAAATGATATGTTTATTGTTTTCTAAGAACATCCTGATGACCGTAGTAAAGTACGGTATGAAAAAAATTGGGGTTGACCAAGTAATTGCTCAGAATTACCAATCTAATCTTGCAGCTTTGATACAAAGATGAACTTTAACCTATTAAAAAAAAGAGATTAGGTAGGCCTACTGTATTTGAGCACTAAAGTGAATGAAAATTTTGAGCAAAGTTAGTTGCAGCCATGTTACGTGTCACAAAACTGTCAAATACAGTATGTTTCAAACATCATAACAAGCGATATTTTTTTGTCTAAAAAGAAACAGGTGCTACCACTGCAATAAGAAATAAATTTCCTATATTACTGCGCAAAAATAATTTTTATATAGGCCTACCTACATTTTATTCACTGAAATATATATTATCCATATGATTATTGATAATGTAGGCGATCTCATTCGAAAATTCATGAAATTCTGTGCATTGTGGTATTTTATTGTTATAGATTGCACCGCTGGTGCTGATGTTACAGGTGTTACTTTTCGTGAATATTTGTCTGACTAACTAACCTCAATCTCTATTGACCAACAACTAAAAAGTCGAGTTTTGGTGTGATTTTACTTTAATAGGTAGGCCTAGGTATTAGTTTACATCGTGACTTATAACACAGAAAACATACTTCTATAACCCAGAATGCCAACCGCATTGTAAAAAGCGTTTAGTACTTTGAGAGAGTTTTGCCTGTCAATTCGTAGGCAGTGCCACCTGCGTTGCTATGCTGAGTGCAATACCATCAATGTAAAATACATTGAACATAGATAGAAAAACATCGATGTTTTGAAAACTTAAACTATTGTTGCTCATCCCTAACCTGAAATCACACAGCTCCTCGTATTTGTAGGGTACAGAACACTGTGGTCGGAACTCTGTAAATGTTTTACACCATTCCGTAAAAGCTTTTAACTTTTGTAACTTACAGTAGCTACATAGATAAGTTTATTGTAACCTAGAAATATGATCAACTTAAAACCTATTTCATCCTAATACCTAATAAAATCCAACAGTTAAGTATAAGATGACCATTTGTTTTAGGATGCAGCAAAGTTCATGCACCATGGAAAACGGATAAAACTTTCAACTTCAGATGTTGATAACGCTCTAAAGTCAAAGAACATAGAGGTAAGTTAAGTTTAAGTTATTCAATATCAAAGTCAGGATTTTAAATTGTAGAAAAAGGAGGATAGCAGCTAGCTTACCTTGAAAGTGTGGGTTGGCCATAGAACAAGTAAAACAAAACCAATATCAAAGTCAGTTAGTAGAGATGCCAGTGTTTGTACAATTGGTCTCTTGTCATTGATGCAAGATTGTAACTTTATATTTTTATTGATTCTGCTTATAAAACCAAATAAACTTTATGCATTTTTTCTCAAGATTAGGCTAACCACTGTGCCGATTTTAAATGCAAAGATTTTAAATCCGCGCCAGGCAATGGACAAGTCAGTCCAACATGACGTAACGCGGATGAATACAAACAGGGAAGGACTCCATTTGTGCCGTGTCCACTCCTCACTCGTAGTCTCGTAGTCGCGCCATCAACAGCATAGTCTCCATGTCACCGGTGTGGGGCAATTTTATTAATATCTTAAATTCGTAGCTCGGAAATTCGCGTTCAGGCGAAAATTGTATATGCATCAAATGATCGCAATTGTCAAAATTTCGCCGAACTGCAATTGGGGGTGTGTCTTTATTAGTATTAAGTCGAGACAGTTGAGATGCCGGATTGATTGTTTGCGTTCGTGATGAAAATTCGTACATGCATCATGTCGATAGCAAATGTCAGTTTCTAGCGAATCGTAGATCGTCGTGACGGTATTTTCAATCGAATCAATAAACGCCAGCTCGAAAAACAAGAATTAATAAGTCCTACACCGGAAAAAACCCGTGTCGTGAAATTTCGCTCGGTCAGACAAAGTACTACGAGTCCGTTTTTAAATGTTCTGTCCGTGTGAATCTTTCGTCAGTGTGAATGTAAATGTGTCGACATGTGTACGTAAGTAAATGTTTTGTGTTATTTGTGTTTTAGAAATAATTTAGTTCTGCCAAACTGCCATTTTTTTCACATGTACAACTCGTTTTTACTAGCCAGAAATCATGTCACAGTTGGTCCGAATATTTCATGTTTCATTTGGTATATTGAAAGCACATGGTCACGAAATTCAGAGTAAAATGTTTCATTGTTATATAAAGAGTTTAGGCTGAAATAGTAGATCTAGTCAAATGAAAATTATTTATTAAATTGAATTGAAATAGCCAATTGAGTTAGTCTTATGGAGTATTGTTTATCTGTGATATAGTATTAAATTTTTATGTTCTATGTAAGGGTGAAATTCTACCATCGTCAGTATACTATTTATAACGTTTTGTATTTCATGTATTGTAATAATTTTTGAACAGAGTGTCACATTTTTAATAGTGAGAGTTTTATTGTGTAACGCAAATGGGGGAAACAAAGTGCTCGGTCGAAGGCTAGGGTTGATGAAGGGTCATGAGGATAGACTTCCATTAAATTCATAAAGAATCAATATTAGCCTAAATAAAAGTTATCAAGTAATCGACTCAGTAGTCGATTGGCCCTGTTGCACTGATCAACAAGGAGTGATGTAGATCACAAACCTACATAATGTTCCCTGTATTAAATTTTAAACTGGCCAGTTTATAAACATACGAACATCTTTGGGGAGTCTGGTGACCTAAAATAAATAAATAAAGTTATCAAGGCTAGGTTTCCCGAGTCTTTGTATTTTAAAATGGAAAAAAATCACAAATTCAGTCAGACAATCAACTCTCTTTCTCTCTTAAACTATTATTTATTGTGTAAAGGTTATTGACATTATATTTGTATCACAACAAATTATTTTATTCAATACACAGTATTTTTACAAATCTCCATCTTTTCATTTGCCTGTGTTTCAGCTAGTATGTTTAATATCAAACTGATGAATTTTAAAGGTAATCGGCTTAACCGAACAAAGTATACAAAGTATACATAATGAGTCTTGATGATCACATTTTATAAATATATTTTGACAGTGCAAGTTTTACAATTTCAGCTCATGGTTTCAATATCAAGTCGGTGAATTTATGAGTACTCGGCTTAACCGAATCCAGTGTATATTAACATCTTGGAGGTCATACTTTTGATAAATATTTTATGAACAAACAGATTTCATAAATATTTGCAATCAATTTTTCTATCTTTATTATTTGCAATATTACAGTTTTACAGAGAAATCAATTCACATCACAATCTTTCATCAGAGCAAACATTTCATGCATAGAGTGTTCAAACAAACTAATCTATTAGCTTTGACTATTTACATTAGTTATTCAGAAGTGTTAGAATTAAGCTGAGGAAGGTGTGAAGGAGGACATCTAATCAGATCTCTCCGATCCCCTCTTAATGGTCTTCTGAGGTATTTAATTACAAGGGACCACACTTAACATCTTTTATTCCACTGCGCACTGCTCTGTCCTCATTAGGTCATATGTCCTCATTAGTCCAATAAAAGTAAATTAAATTCATTAAAACCCCACCAGGTGGTAACTTTTTGTTATTTTCACACCTTTATGTAATATCACATTATATTACATAGAGGTGTGAATTAATGTTTTGAAGAGATAAATGGTCAAAGTGAAAATCTTTTAATTTTTTTTCCTTACACCACTTTAAACCAATAAATCTATTTCAATTAGTATTAGACATAACTTGAATAATTTTTTGTTAAATAGGCCTATCATATCTTCATCGTTTTATTTCAGCCACTTTATGGATTTCACGTTCCTGACTTTATTCCGTTTCGTTTTGCTTCGGGTGGTGGACGAGAGCTTCACTTCACCGAGGAAAAGGAAGTTGATTTAAATGAAATAATCAACGGGCCAGTTTCTAAATTGCCGTTGGAGGTTACTCTGAGAGGTGGGTCCAAGTTTCATCTAATGCACTACAGTATCAGATCTTATTTTTTGCCTAGTTAATTTCACTGACAGATTATTACCCTACTACTGTATTTTTCTTTTGGTAAGTTAGGCCCTACTCATTTTAATACTTATTTTAAGTTGTGTAAAGACAAAAACATATCTGATTTCTGATATTTTAGGTTTTGTTGTGCCATAGCTTATTGTGGAACGATTAATTGTTTTGTACTGTGATAATTACAAAATATAAAAAAAATATTCTAGAAAGCAAATCCGGAGTCCCAATGAAAAAGGAAAATTAATTAAAATTGCAGGTAAAAAGATTACAAAAGATTTTTTTGTCGATTTGTATTCTGAACCAAAACCTATACCGGTACTCCGGTACTTTGGTATTATCCGGAGGCCACCCATATACAGCGCACTGCGGGGGTTGTGTTAGGTTGGGTTATCATAAATATGTTTGTAGGACTTTCTTCGTTTTGTTTTGGATCGAACGATACCAGATGAGTCCATACTTTGGTCCCCCAAATCCCCTCCAAGTAGGCCAAGGTCAGGTCGTTGACCGGAGCGTGCGCATCACCTGTCACTGCGCGTGCACGTGTATCTGGATCAGTGTCCTGAGTGATGACTCATCTGGTATCGTTCAATTCACAACGAAATGAGGAAAGTCTTACAAACATATTAATGTTAACCCAACCTAACATAACCGCCGCAGCGCGCTGTATACCTACTTGGTGGAGTATATTTGGCAGCTAGCGGTGGTGACGCATTCAACTCAATCCTCGCCGACATCGCTGTATTCTGAGTGGCAGAACTCAAAGGCTGCTTATCGTAATCATGTCAAATTTGGACAGTAATTAAAATTAAGTATCCTATCACTGACGTAAGCGTCTTGATCTGACAAAACAAATAAAGTTTGCAATCCTTGGCTATTTGTAAAAGTAAAGGCCTACTTACTCTAAAAAAATAATTCTTCATTTGAGCCGAAATTTCATTGATTTATCTAATAATCTTGCTGTTTCTTAGCTCATTGGTTGTGCATTGACGGAGTTCAACCGACAATCCCAGAGAACCCCCCACCAGTGTCAAAAGATTTGCAGAAGTTGGAAGCTATTGATCCTGTGGCCAAGCTATCCAAAGTGTCTAAGGGTGACAATGCTGGAAAACCAACTGTTGGGTCAGTCATGGTTGTTATTGCTAAGTTTAGTAAAAAAATATTTAGACTTAAATATTTAACTTAATAGAACCATGATATACCATAGTCCTTTTCATAACTAGGTACATAATATTGTTTAAGCCTTTGGCTTAACATTTACAAACAAAAGATGGTCATTTAACCATTCTCGCCACTGGTACACGGTACAAAACAAATATTTGTTGGACACAACCAAAGAATGATTTTTTTACATTCTGAAATTATTCACTGTTTTACTATTACATTTCAATCAACTATAACTTAAAAAAACGAATAACTCGTCATTGGTGTGTAGGAAGGTGCACAAACTCCGCAACGTGGAGACTGTTCATGTTAAACAACTTGCGACCCACGAGTTGTCCGTGGAACAGCAACTCTACTACAAGGAGATAACTGAAGCCTGCGTCGGCTCCGATGAAGGCAGAAGAGCAGTGAGTTAATATTTTGATTTATTTTGAACTTAGCCTAGTCAAAACAGTTTTGAGCTTATTCAAAATACCAGTATTGTTAAATTAGTCATTTTAAGCCTACTAAAGGCTACGTTGGATACTTGTTTGATGAGTATGGTTGCTGTACTGTACAGTAGCAACTGGTTTCAACGTTGCATAAAGTTAGGCTCAGAATCAAAACAAATTAGTAAAACCTATGAACTTAATAGTCTTAACTACCGGTAGGCCTTATACCAAAGTATCCAAAAAAAATTGCCTTGTGCAATACAAGTTCATTTTTTGGCCTTTTGTGAAAAATGTTTATAGATACAATGCCATTTGTACTTACTTATAGATTTGTCAATTTTTTATAGATAAACTTACGACAATTTAAGAGTAAATTTCTGTCCTGTGCCCTGGTATGTAGTGTGTTTTGATGTTTACGATGGTTGGCCTACTTGCTTTTAGTTATTTTAAACCTACTTTAAACGTCTTTTAGCTTAAGCTAAATTACAATCTGTTTTTATATCATAAGTGTTTTATAGCCAGTTGATGTTGTTGTTATTTAATACTATTTCCAAAAAGTAAAGCACTCCCTGTAAAAGTAAGTCATAAATATTTATTTGCCATAAGCTTTTTGACATAAAACACATTATTAAAATTCAACAGACGTTAACATTTTTCAATTACACAATTGATCTCGTTTTCAAGTAAAATAATACTAATTTCCCTTGATAGATTTTTACGACGCCAACACACCAGGAGTATTTTAATGTTTAGATGAATGTTGAATGAATTAGAGGGTAGATTTGCTATGATGCTGACAAAGGTGGTTCTTTGTCAAAAACCATACATTAAAAACACAATAGTAAACTACAACTAACTCCAGTTTTGATCCATTAAAAATGTACTGATTTCTCAGGATTGAACTGGCAACCTTCTGATTGCTCATGTACCAAATTATTCCTAATTTCACCCTACTTACCTAACCTACTTTGTGGTTGTTTTGTAGGAAGCACTACAGAGTCTGGCCTCTGACCCTGGCCTACACGAGATGTTGCCCAGAATGTGTACGTTTATTGCGGAAGGAGTCAAAGTGAACGTGGTACAGAACAACCTGGCTCTGCTCATTTACCTGATGCGAATGGTCAAAGCGCTTTTGGAAAACCAGAGTCTTTATTTAGAAAAATATGTAAGTATAATCAATAACTTTTAGATTCTGGGTTGGACACCGCCTGTGTATATGGTCGAGTTCTCCACAGTATATACAGGGTGTCCCGTGTAAACAGCCAAACTGTGGGAAATTGTTCTATGGGCCACAATAAAGAGAAAATCAAGAAAAACATTTTTTTTATAGCTTCGTTAATCAGCTAAATCTTTTCATCTTTAACCGATCGATATAAATCTTGGTATATGTATGTTAAGGTAAAACAGATCCACGTTAGGAAAAAATATTTTAATCCAATAAAAACTTCAAAATGGCAACCATTAAATTAAAATTGTTTAAAAAATGGCTAATTTTATGAATAAATGTCTAGAAGACTTTTATTTAGTATTTATTTCCTATCAAACGACACCAAGTTCGATCACGATTTTTAGTTGTAAAACGGTATTGAACAAGGTTAGGCCAGCCAGATTTGCCTCATCTTACAACAAAAACTCAAGATATTTCAGTTATTTATGATTCAATCTTTTTGAACTTGGTGTCGTTTGACAGGAAAACGCCAAATAAAAGTATTCTAGATATTTTTTCATAATATTAGCCATTTTTTACCAATTTCAACTTTAAAAATTAAAATGGCTGCCAGTTTTTTCCCTAACGGGGTTCTGTTTTACCTTAACATACTTGTACCAAGTTTCATAAAGATCGGTTGAAAAAATTCAAATATAAAAATATTTTAATTTATGCAAAAAATACAAAATGGCTGATATCTGGTTAACAAAGCAATTTTGGAAAAAAGGTTATTTGTGATTTCCTCTTTATTTTTACCCAATGAATCACTAAGTAAATTATGTCCGCCTTTTTTTGAACACCCTTTATAGTCGATCAATCCTTTCTACAGAGGATTATATATATATTATATATTGTTCTATATTAAAGAATACTGGCTTATTTTGACAATCTGGAGCCTATTCATCATGTTTAACTAAAAGTAGCCAACTTGCAAATAAGCTATTTAAAAGGATTATAAATGATTAAAATGAGATATTTTGTTTGTTGAGTGGGGACGAGTCAGAAGGATGTTTTTGTCAACAAAATATTGTCTAACTTCCATTTTTCTGTACCATTTAATGAACATTTTCTCCGCCAGCTGCACGAGCTGATCCCGTCGGTGACGACGTGCATCGTGTCCAAACAGCTGTGTATGCGACCTGAGCTTGATAACCATTGGGCGCTGCGGGACTTTGCCTCTCGTCTCATGTCGCAGATCTGCAAGAACTTCAACACATCCACCAACAACGTGCAGACTAGGATAACGAGAATATTCGCCACGGCCATCAACAGCGATAGGTCTCCACTGTCGTCTCTATATGGCAGTATAGAAGGTGAGATGTTACAGTTATCTGAGTGTTTATAGGCTTCATGACTTTTAAGTCCATCCTCCAAAAATCTAAGAAAGATTAAAGGAAAGAAAGTGATTGTCACTAGGTTTTGACTTCTAGTGTGATGCAAGACTGCAGTAACAAAACTTGATGAGTTGAACTTGAATTCATCAAAGATTAAAATTTGAGTTTATTAACTAGGTTCCAGAGTTACATTTCCTTAGTTGAACCCACCATTTTCCTGTGCTGCTGTACAACGGAAATATCCAAGTTGAAATTTTTTTTTTAATTCAATTTTTATGGCGGGATTTCATTTATTTGTAAATATATTACAGGAATTTTGTAATTGCCGGGAAAAATCAAGACAGTGCTAGAATTCTGGTGTTAAAAATTTGTAAAATTAATGTTCAGTTTACGACTGATTTGTGTTGTGATGATAAATACCCAGTGAGAATCAAGTGTTACAATACATCTCTATTATATTCTAGGAGGATTCTAAATAAGGGACATATGATTTTAGAATTATGATTCAACATTGGATTTTTTAGCTGTTGCAGGGTGACCACTCAACCGGGAAATCGGGAAAACCGGGATTTAGCCGGGAATTTTAGTGATCGGGAAAAAACCGGGAATTAGCCGGGAATCCAGAGTAAAAACCTGGAAATATTTAATTTATTGTGTATCAGTATTTTTCTTCGACAATTAAACAAGAAATGTACCCCAAATGCTACGATGAACAAGCAAACACGCAGTTGCAGCACAATAACACATTAGCGACGTGTCTGACACGGTTGCTATGCAAGATTTGCGACCTTGATTTACTCTTCACTCTTCAATTTTAGGAATGATCATCGATAGTCGATGTTTTCGAAACATCGATGTTTTGTCCAAGTATTGCGATATCGATGTACACTGGAACTCTCCAGTGTACATGGGATAAGCATCGATAGGTTTACCATCGAATATCGATAACACCATCTTTAACATCGTTGCAAAAACATGGTTATCGATGTTTTTCCGGTTTTTATCTGGTGTTTGTACTCATAAACAGCAGATGAAAAACTGGAAAAACATCGATGTTTTTGCAACGATGTTGCCGATGGTGTTATCGATATTCGATGGTAAACATCGATGGTTGACCTATCGATGCTCATCCCTATTCAACATGTACATCTGCCTCCAGTTACCAACTACGGAGTACTGATCGCCTATATTTTGGCGTGTGACGTGCGGTCGGTTGTTCCCGCCTGCCCTGTCCCCTCCCCCGCCTCCTAGTGTAGTGAGCGTGAGCGACAGTCTGTGTGAGTGAGACAGAGACATTTGTTGTTATGCTGGAGTCTTGACCTTCACCCCCTAACCTAAACCTCACAAGTAACAACGTGCAGTGCCAGTGCGAGTGCGGGCGCCGGGCGGTCGGTCATCGACTTCCTGATTCTGTGATTTACGACATGCGTGTCTGTAGTACTAGTTCTTACATAGTTTCAAGTTTCGTTTTTGCCGTGTTTAGCTACCAAAGGTAAGTGGTACTCATTGATGTATTTTTATTAGTAGGCCTATACATTACTTTAGATTTAGACACTGTTGTGTTGTGAAGCAAAATAATGCTAAGACACTGTTGTGTTGTGAAGCAAAAATAAAATGCTAAGAGAACTACAAATTATTGTCCATCCTATTATCCTATTATTATTTACTGAGTTTAGAAGTCTCAAGTCTTAACTCTATATTTAAAATAAAGAAGTGCTTATTGGAGTCTCATTCAACAACTCAACATTAGATTGCATTTAAGTTGCATGCTGTTATTATTTTTTTAGCGTTAGGTATTTCAATGCTGGTGTTGGTTTTAAAAACTTGTTTTCTCGCTGTCTTACTTATTTTAGATAACGAATTAAAAATTCTTCAATGCACACATTTTTTATTTTTATTAGCCTTTAGATACAAGAGTAATAAATTAATTGTAATACCTAAACAAATTAGTTTTTTACTATTGTTTATGAAATCGAATCCGTGAACCACTATTGCCTATACACAAAATAAGACTTCCCATGTAATGTTCAAATTTGACGCAAAATTATGTGGTGCAATCTGTTGATAAGGATAGTCAATGGTTTCACTGTTTGAAGTCTACTCGACACATGTTAACATAGACGTAAAGAGTAAAAGCAGGGAACCGCTCCAGTTCTTGCCGACACGAAAATATCGTACCCTCCCGGATTTTATTGTACCCGCCCCTCTATAACTAAATAGAAGCAGGGAACCGTTCTTGTTCATTACGCCACGAAATAATCGTGCTCTTTAAATGCTGTTTGAATTCTTTCTGATTACAGTATTTATTCGCGGTTCTGTTATTTGAGAAAGATATGTCACTGTAGTAGAAGATGTAACATTTTATTTTCATTAAAAATATTATACTCTGATGTAGAATGGTGGCCTCAATATATAGTCGATTTTTAACTGAAAGCCGCTGGAGCTCGGCCCTACCTGCGAGTGAGCCGACCCACGCACACACACACACCATCACCCAAATCGCCTAAAAGCCCCGATCCCCTCCACTACCTAGAAATATAACATATGTTGTATGATACCTCAAAGTAGCAAATCATTTTAAGTTAGATATACTGTAAAATGCTTAGTGTTAGTAAATTTGCTGTTTAATTCCATGTAAAATGAGTCCAAATAAGAAATTATTACAAAATGAAATAGTAGAAAAATATTCGTAACTTCTACATTTTGCAAGCAAAAAATATATTGTTTGGTATCATTTTACTTAACATTTTGAGCTGAAGCCAAAAGCATTAACCGATTCTATCAACGATAGTAAAATTAAAGAAAAATGATAGATAATTTCTTTTAGCCAGTGATGAGTCACACGACAGGTGTCTGTTCCGTCCTAATCCCTTGCGTGTGTGTGTGTGAGAGAGAGGCCTGCGTGTGTGTGAGTAGGGTCGACGACCCTTCAGCCAGCCGCGTTCCCTGAACAATCATACTACATATAAATTTGTATTCATTTTTGTAACCAACTTCAATTATTGGAGATGCATGGAACGCAATATGGTATCTCGTTACGTAATGAACTGCTTATCGCGAGCTTTAGGGGAATCCAAGTTTTTAATACCAAGTGGCTAAATAATTTTAGATACGTATTTGACGCGATTTTCTTTTTATTTCAGATAACCATGTCTCTATCAAAGCCGAGTACAACAACTTTTCGATCCTCATATATTTTGGACTTTCCCTGGGTAAAGGAAGATCCACGTTCAAATACTTCCGCATTATGTACTTGGTGCAAAACTACCATTAACATTGCTAGCATGGGAAAAACCGCCCTGAAAAGCCATTCTAAGTCAGCAAAACATTGTTTGAACGAGAAAAACCGGGAAAAATGTTTGAAAATTGGGATGTTTTTTCGAAATTCTGATGATAAACGTAATGAAGCCAGCACCTCTTCTCTCCATACGGATACAGCCACTGTTAGTGACCAAGTTACTGATCCTGGCCCTTCTACACAATCCACTGCCTTGCCACAGACCTCGCCCCACAGTACACCAGAAGATCAGCTAGCTCGAAGAAATACTCCTGCCCTAAAACATTTCTTGTTCTCAGAATCCGTTACAAAATCCGAGATATTTTGGTCTATGCAGATAGTTCTCAATCATATATCTTTCAGAACTGCAGCCAAACTAGCCGCTGGGTTTAGTAAGCAATTTCCAGATAGCGAAATAGCTGGGAAAATCAAGCTACAGAGAACTAAAATAGGGTACACCATTGTGTTTGGACTTGCACCGTACTTCCGGCGGCAGCTGGAGTCGTCATTGAAAGATGCGTCATACATTGTTGTTTGTTTTGATGAAGCGCTGAATAAAGTGTCCCAAAAACAACAAATGGACATACACCTTAGATTTTCCAAAAAATCCCAGATTGAAACGCACTACTTTTCCTCTGTTTTCTTAGGAAATTCGAAAGCCTCTGACTTGTTGGATGCCTTGACTGGCATATTACCGAAAGATTATCTAAAAAAAGTCATTCAAGTATCAATGGATGGTCCTAACGTGAATTTGAAAATGCTAACAGAATTAGAGACCTATCTAAAAGAAATACCGGACAGTCACTTATTGCTAAACATAGGAACTTGTGGCCTTCACACATTGCACAATGCATTTAAAGTTGGAATAAATAGCACAGGATGGGAAATAATCACTTTTTTACGTGCTTTGTATAATCTATTTAAAAACTCACCTGCCAGAAGGTCTGAATATGTACGGCTATCAGGATCTAAATTGTTTCCTCTTCAATTTTGTGCAGTAAGATGGGTTGAAAGTGGACCTGTAGCAGAAAGGGCATTGAAAATCTTGCCCAACGTAATTAAGTACGTAACAGAAACGACTAAAGAACCCAATTCCTACAGCTTCAAGGTTGTGAAGGAAAAGATTAAAGATAAAATGTTGATGCCTAAACTCGCATTCTTTTCATCTATGGCCTCAATGATAGAGCCGTTTCTTCGTGAATTCCAAGGAGACCAGCCGATGGCACCTTTTTTGTACCAAGAATTAAATTCACTAGTGTTATCGTTTATGGAAAGAATTGTAAAGGAAGATGTTTTTAAAAGTGCTAAAAACAGAGCAGAAAAAATCCAGCTTACTAATGACAATCTGAAACCTGCCAAAACTATAGATATAGGCTTTGCTACACGTGATGCCCTCAGAAACTCAGGCGAAAAAACACAATTGGATGTATTAACCTTCCGAAATGAATGTAGAACGGCTATTGTAGCCATGACGAAGAAACTCATGGAAAAATCTCCACTGCATTATAGTTTGACAAAATACATTTCTTGTTTGGACCCAGGAACAATTGGTTTCGATAGAGCACTTGCTGAGGTTAGATTGACAAACTGCTTGGAGTCTTTTGTTTCAAAAAATCTAATTTCTGGAATAAAAGCCGACTGTATTAAGAAGCAATATAGAGAAATATTCCTCTCTGAAGAAACTATGCAACTGTGCAAGAAGTACAAAAGAAACCAGGTCCGACTGGACAAGTTTTTGTTTGAGATTATTTCCAATAACGGAGGGACAGAACAGTACAAACATCTGACTGAATTTTGTTCAATTATTTTGACACTGTCTCACGGAAACTCCACCGTGGAGCGAGGTTTTTCTATCAACTCCGAATGCATTGTAGAAAACCTGAAAGAGGAGAGTCTGGTCGCTTTGCGCCAAGTTTATGATGGGATAAACACAGCTGGTGTCCCGGTAGAGCAATTTGAAATTACTAAGGAGCTCGTGCATTGTGCAAGAAACGCTCACTCACTTTATACAGAACATTTAAGAAAAAAGGAAGAAGAAGTCGGTGAAGAGGAAAAAGCAAAAAAACTTAAAAGGAAAGCTGAACTGGAAAAAAAAGAACTGGAAGAGAAGAAAGCAAGAATCATAGAAGATGCAAGAAAACAGGCAGCTCTACTAGACGAAAAAATTGCCAATTTGAATAAATAAGTTTAGGATTGTATATTTTGTGGATTCTATATTGTGTACATATTAAGTTTTTTAAAATCGTGTTCTAATAACGTTACTCTAGGACAAATGAGTAAATCATTGACAGCTTAAATTTTTTTATAAGTTGCGTTTATTTTTCAATTAAGTGTGATTTAAGTGTTTTATATAAACTATTTAAAAGTCTTAAACATCTTTTCCTCTGCCACAAACGTGGAATCAACTACATCATACTTGTAAGTATAATTTGTATGTTTATTTTGCATGTTCTTTTTCTACTGGTACATATAATTGTTTTTTTAGAACTTTTAATAACTCACTAATTAACAGTTATTATTTTATATTTTAGTATTTTTTATTTTTTGTTCATGTTAAGTAATAAATGTCTTGAATTATTAACTATCATACTATACACACGTTATTAATTTACTATCGTATGTATATTAGCACATCAGTATTCATTTCAATATTTATTTGCATGAATTGTTACGGGGTGGGAGCTATTTGACAGACGCAACATTCTTACTACGTTTTACTCAGATAATTGGGGTCGGTGCTCGATGTGGCGGGAGGAGGGTGCGAGGAGGGAGGGTAATTGACCTTGACAGCCGGCAGTATCCGGGCGGGCGGGCGTCGGGCAATACGATCAGAAACTGTACAATGTACAACATAACCACTATGTCCGCGTCAGTTCCGTGCTGAATTGTGCGAATGAGTTGGTAGTTTTTTTTTATTTCAGCTCTTATTAAAATGCGTCTTTACGAAATTAGTAAATTTAGCAGTATATTTTCATCTGTTGGTATGAAAATAGGACTTCAATACGCCCTGGAATTCCTTGAAAAATACCCGGGAAAACCGGGAAAAAACCGGGAATAAAAAAATCTGTTTTGAGTGGCCACCCTGTGTTGTCTAATTATTCTGAGCATTTTTTGACATTGTAGTCAGTTTTACATATGAGTTATCCCCCAAGGTTTGTCAGAGCTGGGCACAGAAGTGGTGAAGGTGTTTATACTGCCGAAGGTGAAGCACATCGCAGACAGACTTGATCTGGCTAGTGAAGGTGGGACTGTCTCCATCACTGACAAGATAGCATCTGGACATATCAAACACCTGCTAGTGGTAAGTCAGTTCTAATCCGACCTGAAGCAACACTTTCGAGGGATAAATATGATCAACAATACAGCTATGGGATTGTGAATGTCATGAGGGTTTTCTGGTGCTTTTGTTTTTGTGGGTATTTTCCTAGAACTACAGTGTTTGATTTCGGCTGTCCACAGTTGGTTCCTTTTTAAGATGTTCTTGAAATTTTGATGTGTGGAGTTCCATATCATTTCATGTCTGACAACTAGTTATATTGTTTGTCCTCAAACACCAATAAAATTAGTTCGCTTTGACATTTCTAGGGATGTGTCGGTCCCAAAAGACAGTTCCTAGTTCTAACCGTTCTAGGCAAAATAACCGGGACCGAGAACCGTTGGAAAATTTTTGGCTCTTCAGTCCAATGGTTCCATCAACTACTTTACTTAGCTAATGCACTTCTTGGCCGTATTATACCTGTCCAAGAATTTTATTTTACGTTCTTTTGTAGCTTCAGTCCTAGATATACTGATAAGCCCCTTCCATTATAAAAGAGCCCCATCTCTTCCAATTGCTCTATATGTTTTTTCTTTCAATGTCCTTCTTTTACGGTGTCTTCCCATTTCTTTTGTAGCCTTCCCTTCTCTCATTCCACTAGTTTCTCTCTCAAGCCAGATTATCATTCTTTCATCCAGTTTTTAACCCTTTTGCGCTCGTCGGGGTTTGTGCTAAAATGGCCGACGTGCACAATAACGCTCGTTGGCTATCGGGCGAAAATTGCCGACGTGCGTTATAAAGCACGTCAATGTTTTATAACTTACTGGCCTTATATGCTTTCCAAACCCCTCCAAATTCGACTCGGATTATTTGCAGACTATAACGAAGCTGTTTGCAGACGATTTTATACGGTATGAGACTATAACCAACGAAGTTACATAGTTTGAGTTTGCTCTTGGTCTGTGCGTTGCTGATTACTTCTCTACTGTGTCTAGATCGTTTGTCATCTGTGTTTGTTTAGTTGAGTTTTGCGAATGGAAAGGTGTTTGTTATTGTTTGTGTTTACTAGTGGACTAGTGCTATAAAAGTAATGTTGTGATGAAGGTAAGGGCATGAAAGTTTGTTTGTGTAATAACTTATGCATGCTCTACAAACTAAAATAATAACATTTATGCATGTGTTTGGTTAGTTTGAGTTTTAGTAAAAATGAGTAATAGACGAGTTAGGTCACCGGTGAGTGAAAATACAATAATAAACAACCTATTGGGTGACGGTGTGAATGTTGACGATGGTGATGTGAGTGATAGTTTTGTAGACAATATTTCTGAGTCGAGCTCAGAACCCAGTTCAGATTCTGAAAGTGAAGGATTAGGTCCAGAATTTGAGGACGATACGGACGAAGACCCAGATTACATAGTAAATTCAGACCCCTCTGACGACTCAGAAGATGAAATCCCCCAACCTAGACATAGGCCTAGGCCTACTCCCACTGCTGATGTCCACAGTACAGTCGACGAAGTTATTGACGATGTTGTAAACAACTTCACAATTCCAGAAGGTGATGTAATGGAAATGGAAGATGTACTTTATGCTAATCTAAATGACCCTGACGCTGATGAACATCTTGGATGGGATCCCCTTGATGAAGGTAACGATCCTGGTTTTGACCACACTTTTCCTTTTGACGAATTGCCTGGGCCAAAACATTGTCCCCCACATGATGCACCTCCAATATCGTACTTTAATTTATTTTTTACTGTAAATCTCCTGAATTCTTTTGTGCTAAGAACCAACCAGTATGCCAGGGACTACATCACTGCACATATACATAACTTGACTCCAAATTCACGTGCCAGGGATTGGAAAAATGTCACCCTGCCGGAAATGAAGGCCTTCATTGCCACAATTTTGAATATGGGTCTTGTAAGAAAGCCAACTATTCAAAGCTATTGGTCGACAAAATCATCACTTCAAACACCTTGGTTTGGAAAAATGTTTAGTAGGAACAGGTTTGAGTGTCTATTGCAATTTTTTCACATAGTCTACAATAGCACATTGGCTAAACCAGGTGATCCAAATTATGACCCCTGTGCTAAATTTAACCCCCTATTGGATCATGCAAACAGGATTTTTAGGACTTATTACACCCCTCATCGTGAGATATCAATTGACGAAAGCCTGGTTGGCACTAAGAGTCATTCACAAATTATGCAATACCTGCCCAACAAGCACCACCATCGTTGGGGCATCAAAATGTGGATGTTGTGTGACTCTGTCTCCAGGTATTGTTTGGCTTTTTTTTGCTACAAAGGAAATAAGAACAAGAGAAAATCAACTGGCCTTGCATTCAAAGTTGTCACCAAGCTTTTAGAGATAGGTCAGTATTTGCGAAAAGGCTACCATCTCTTCCTTGACAATTTTTTTACGAGCATCCCTCTGGCGAACCACCTTTACGAAAACCAAACCTACATGACTGGCACAATTAGGAAAAATAGAAAAGGAATACCTCCACAGCTGAAAGAAAAGTTTGCTGTTGGCCAGAAGACGTATTTGCGGAAGGAGAACACGCTTTTTTTGGGATATCGAGAAAAAGCTTCTCAAAAGAAACCAGTGCTTTTACTCTCTACAAAAGCATCTGCAAAGTCAGTGGAAGTAAGAAGAAGGAAAAGACATGAAGAAAACCCAAAAGTGAGACCTGAAATTATAGATACTTACAATATGTATATGGGGGGGATTGATGGCTCAGACCAAATGCTCTACTGTTATTTAGATGAGCGCAGAACTGTCAAGTACTGGAAGAAGGTTGTGTTTAATATATTTGGCAGGATGATTCTCAACTCGTATATCATTTACAAGGAAAATTGTTCTGGTAAATTACTGTCAAGATTTAACTATACCAACTCCATAATTGAAGAGCTCTCTACTGATTGGCTAATGCTGAAGAACCAGCCACATGTTGCTGAGGTGGGCGGTGGCGGAGACGCTGGAGAAGCTTCTGGATTCGGCCTAGAATCTCTACCCGGAAGAATGTTAAGAAATTGTTCTGTGTGTAGCCTACAAAGTACAAGTGCAGGAGGGACCAGGAAGAGGAGCAGGACTGTTTGCAAGAGATGCAAGAAAGGGGTTCATCCTACGTGTTTCGGTGAACACAAATGCCAATGATCGGAACTTTTTCATTTGTAAATATTGTAAATATTCTTTTAAATTTATTTGTAGGCTACATAAGTTTTTTTTCCATTATTTCAGCTCTCTAGCAATGTACATTATTGTGAATTACAAAACATTTAGGCCACTTGTGTATATATGATCATGAACAAACTCTTAGTAAAGTGTTTTCACCTAAACGTGTAAACTTTTTATTTGACGAAATTTCGAAAAAAAATCACAACTTCTACAATTTTCAAGGTAAGGGCATGAAAGTTTGTTTATGTAATAACCTATGCATGCTCTACAAACTAAAATAATTACATTTATGCATGTGTTTGTTTTAGGTATAGTTTTTATACGCCAAACCTAAAAAATAAAATAAAAAAAAATTTTTGACTATATAAATTTAGGTTCAAAAAAATTTTTTTTCCCTATAATATTCATTATATGTTTTTATGAAGACTGGTTGTTTATTAGAAACAAAACAAGGCCTTATTTATCAAATTCTGATGGAAAATTAAAAAAAATACACAAGTTTTTGTGAAATACTGAATTTTCCTCAAATCAGGCCTGGCAGTCTTCGCATATTAGCCTTACCTTAGACCCGGCATTTTTCAAGTAACATATAAAAAACCGGTTGGCAGTAAAAGGGTTAACCTGACCAAATCACTCAAGACTTGTCAAACAGTAGAACCCTCGATATTTCACACAATACTGGCTAGTAACGACAAATTAGAGGACGAAACACACAACTCACACACGCTCATAATCCACTCATAAAAACGGTCATTGCTTCTAAACTGTAATTAATTAGCCTACTGTGTTGTTTGTTTGCTGTTTCTGTAAACTTTTCAGGATCTTTGGCTGTCTTAAGTTTACTTATGTTTCTAAGTTCACCAACTAAAATGGTCTCTTAATCACCTGACGTTTTCATACATTTATGCCTACCAGATAAACGTTTAGGCAAGGTTTACTGTATTGTCACATCAATGTCAATAAAATTTACAAAATTATAATGTGCTGATGTAATATGTGAACAGAAAGTGCTGACACCACTTCTGAAGACCACTAAGCAGCCGCCTGACAACATGGAGGAGTATAGGACAGAGTTTGGGTCGCTAGGTCCGATGCTGCACCAGGCTGTTGTCAAAGCTCGCACTGCTGCTACTACACCCAACCTGGCTCTCACTCAGCCCACCATCATACACTCTGGAGCCAGTAAGTACAACTAGATGATAGTTGTAGTTACAGGAGCCCCATTACAGTTTCTTTGGATAACATTGAGTTAAATAAGTTTGTGTTCAAGAAAATACTGTAGGCCAGGAGTTTGTTTTGATGAATAAACGGGTAGCAGAACTTACCTTAGAAAAAGTACAGGTTAGCCAAGTAAGACTCATAAAATACACTATGATAATCATTTTACTTAGTTTTATTGAAGAAGGAATCTGATCAAAAATTTGAACTAAGTCAAATAAAAAACATACGTTCTTCTTGTGCAATTTTGTTGTACATAGCTGTAACGCCAGGAGCATTTTTTTTAGCGGGCACATCAAACGTTTTTGTTCAAATCTCCCCACATTCAAATCCCCTTAAAAGGGAAGGCATTAAAGTTCATAAAGATTGCAACTCCCAAAAAGTAAGTGAAATTGGTTTGATTACAAAATGTTTGATCAAGTGCAATCAGTTTGGTAAGCATTGGTTGCAGTTTTTTCCCCAAGGCAAACACAACAGTGTTTTGATGTTTTTGACAGTAAAGAATTGTAAAAGGTCTCCTAAAGGTAGCCTTTGTTTTTATGTGAACAATTAATTGGTAAACACAAATGATTGTATTTTAAACTTTAATGTAAAAAAAGAGCATTTCTCATTACTTCAGGTGAGATTTTTATACTGTTTTTTAGTATATTGTTGCGGCTTGGGAAAAAGAAAAACAACAATAAACACCCTCACACAGTCTGCTAGTCATGTCCTTTGCTGGACCTAATTGTAATGTTACTTTGAGAGGTTGTTTTATCGTTAAATATACTAACGTAAGCTATAAACTTGATAACTTAGTAACGTCTGTCGCAGCCATGAGTCAGGCACGTACCATCACAATGCCCGGAGCCCCTAGACCTGTTCATTCAGGTGCTCTAGGCAGTTCTCAGCAGAAATACGTCATAGTTGCAGCCAGACCACCGCCTTCCCCATCACCAGTGAGTAGTTTTGACAATCTTTTCTAACACTATAACTTAAACCAATAAACCTGAGAGTTTTCACCTAACATAATTTTCTTCTAGGTATCTATTCCTGGTTTGTCAAATCCTGTCCCATCCCCATCCACGCAAGGGCAAAGTCATCCTCGATCTTTATCTACAACCGTTCCAAGATTCACAACCCCTCCTCTGGGTAAAAGCTTGAACTTACCTCCTGTAGGACAAAGATTCCTAGGTGATACGAATCTGTGCAAAACACAATCCATTTCCTCTTCCAACGCCTCCTCACAATCTTCAAAGGTATGTTTTGTGTGCTTTTCTTTGGTACATGTTTTGGTGAGGTTTGCTTATTAGCAGGTTTACAAATTACGACTTATAAAGTTACACTTTATTGCGTGTTAAGTGAGATTTTCACCAATAAATATTTACAGTAATGGGTTGATTTTGAGATTGAGATAAATGAGTAGGGATACATTTCTTAAATAACATTTAACATGCTAAATTAGGCTAATTCATTTGATTTATTTTGGACAAATAAAATAAAACAAAATTCAATCTGACAATAAGTTACTTGTCAAATTTGCAATTGACTTGAAAATGTAAAGGTAAACAAACAGATAAGTTTTGATTAGATAAAAATTTAAATATTTAGATTTGAATGGTAGTAGTTGTATAAAACCGGCTTTTAACACTACTGAGCTGAGATTTATTTGTTTGATTTATCTTTATTCTTGCTACAAGTTATGCAATCTGTGCAAGGGGGTGTTTGAGGTGTTGGACAACTTCCTTTTAAGTGTAATGTTATCAATCACATAATGTCACTGGCATTGGAATTATAACAATCTTACTTTATAGGTTAAGTAGTAAAAATATCCATCAACACTTTGAGATACAAGGGATTAGTACCCACATACACTTTTTGGGTCCAGGAGGAACTCAAGCTCTAAAATGTTGACATAAATAATAATTTCTCCGTAACTGATGTATAGGAGAAGAAAAGGAAGTATATTGTAGGTTAAACACTGTCCTTGTATAGTTGACACCCTGTAAACCATCTTGACTTTCCTACCCACTTGCTGTATACGAAGGTGCACCTAGACTAACACTGCAGAGCTTAGTACTCTAACTGCTTGCACGGCATGGCTTGACTAACAGGTGCAGGTGCCGCAGTCAGGCGCGTTGGTGAAGCTAGGTGGCAACAAACTGGTGGTTGTCTGTATGCCTAACTCACCCGCAGCCACGTCCGCTTCCATCATGGCTCAGGTAACGGAAATTGTACATGTTAATTTTTCAGTCCGAGGAATTTGTATGAAAAGGCTAAAACGTAATTTGTCAAACAATCCTTGATATTGCAACCTTCTTAGTGCTACTGCGCTCTACCCAATGTCATAATGAAAATTGGTAGGCCACGCTAGGAGATTTGAACCTAAATTGCAAGGTCAGGGAAAAAATCATATCTTCCTTGGTTTTGCTACATGTATTTCCTATTAGCGTCAGGCAAAAAGAATACACTTGTCGGCAGATTAAGTTAAATACAAACAAAACTATAACAGATAAGCCTATCTACTAGACTCGTGTATATTGCTACAGGAATGACTGGAAGCAGATCTGTAGTCCTACTTGTGATCCTGTTAAACTTATATGGATAACACCTTATGAAGTGGATCTTTTTGTAGACAATGGCCAAGTTCTAAATAACCACAGGAACAAATGTAGCAAATTTACCACAAAGTGATAAAAACATATTAAGGATTGTTTGATGAGGAACATTTTAACTATTATTTGTCAATGGTACACAATTTGATTTATATTTTGCATGGCTTTAAATGGTTGGACGCTTTTGGATTATATCATAGAGAATAAGAATTAAATATAGAACCTCAGTCGTGCTGTGGTTACCAAAGGTTCTGGCGCATACCGCTGGGAGCGCCATGTAGTTACGGCGTACCTGCTACGTAACTATACGGAGCTCACAGCGGTGGGTGCCAGAACCTTTGGTAACCGCAGCAGGGCTGACAGTCTATAATTTAATTCTTTTTGTCTATGATTATATACAGGTATTGCAGGATATTTATTTGCAAATCGAGGCTATGTGTTATGCAATGTCCCTTTAGTGTGTTTTCCTGTTTTGGTAGTTTTTCTCCACAATGCTTGTTCGGGTAACTGAGCACCATCCATAGAGTATATTTATGTATATCTATTCCTGTAACTTCCCGTTTCGCTCTTGGAAAATATCAAATATTTTGTCAATTAAAACTAACTTTTAAATTATATAAGAGGTTTATTGTTTTTATCACTTTTGAAATCATAAAATTAATTTTATTTAACTAACTTTTTAGTTAAAAAAAATGGCTGAATCACTGAGTTGGTTTAGTTATTTAATATTTATGTTAACCTATAAACACTCTCGATACTCTCTAAGCGTGAACCAGTGTTTACATAAAAAATACAGGCTTCTGTATGAGTCAGAAGAAAAATACTCAAATGCGTTAAAGTGCATGTCATGTTATAAGCTTGTACCTTTCTTTAATTTTAAATTCTTGCTGGGCCTGCCCTTTAATGTCTTGTTGTTATAAACTAGAATGAGATAGAAGTATTTTATTTTTTATTTTAATATGCTGTTCTGTTTTATTTGCATATGATTTACTATTTTAGTGTAATGTTTATGTGAATTTAACTAGCCTTTCTTAAGGCATTGTTCTTTATAAGAACTCTATTTAAATTTCACAGGCATGAAGAGCTTCATTTGGAACCACTAACAAAATGCTATTTTTGCATGACCCTAAGTGTATAAAAAGAGTCAGGATTGCCCAAATAACGCGAAAATTTTTTTATTTTACGAAGCCTAGCTCCAGTTGCGACCAAGCGAGCTACTTCAAATCTGATACTAACACTGTGTTTTTTTACATCATCTACTACTATTGTAGCCGGTTCACCAAAACAACGTGAGGGATAATTGATGCTACTGCCAAATATGAATGACGTTCTGTGAAGGAATAGGTTTCAATAGTAATGGAATCAATCCCTGTTGTTTCCGGTTGCCAGTTGTAAATTCTCTGAACTTTGGTCCTTGCCTTTAACGAGACTGATAAACCACAGCAGTTGGCCTACATAACTCCTCACACGTTTTATATGTTGAATCAAAACACTTTACTACATTCAGATCCTCATCTGGCAATGAATTTCCAAAGCGGTTGAAGACCGAGAGCATAGAATTAGTGATCCAGAACACGATTTATACTTGGTGGGAGCATCAATCCTCTTTCACAAAGTTTGTTAACACAATGCCAAGACTTCATATTCCCATAGGGTTAGGAACCAGCTAGAATTAAGTGGATGAAGTAATACATGTTGTCCTCAGTTAGGAACTAGCTCGCTAGGCTGCGACGAGAGCTCGGATAGAGACCTTAATTTACAGATAACCCTAGTATTTTCCAACCCAAATAAACGTATCACATTTAAACTTCCTTACAACCTAACCTACTATGCTGTTTGGTCTCACCATCACTTAGGGCGGGTTTCTGAGTCAGGGATTTATAAGTCCAGAACTAGGCTAGTCAGGGATTAAAATTAGTCATGTACTAAAAATTCACTTTCTGAGTCAAGGATTAAGGACACACGGACTAATTTAAAGCGGGTACTTAGTTTAGTCAGAGATTAAAAGAGCTCATGATTTTCAAGGGGAATGTAGGGTAATTCGTGCCGCCGTGCTGCCAACACTGTCAATTTAATGTGCGCACTGCTCTGAAAAAGTAAACAAATAACGATCTCAGTCAAACCTTGGTTTTGACTGTTTTGAGGTTAATTTCTGTTTTAATTAATTTATCCTTGTAATATATTTTATTATTGTTATAAACTAGTTGTATCATAAAATTTTAAAGGTGTTTTAAAGGTAGGATTGGTGTTTCATCCTATTTCTTTTGGCTGCACTTTACTTTACGTCCTACACTCCTTCGAATTAAAATATCGGTTGTTCGATTGTTTCATTCGATATATCGTTTGGTTAGTTAGGTTAGGTTAACCTTACCTAACTAACCAAACGATATAACTTATCAAATAAACAAAATATTGATCGATATTTTCATTCCAATGAGTGTAGGACGTAAAGTAAAGTAATCAATCAATCAATCAATCAATCAATCAATCAATCAATCAATTTATTTATTGAACTATAATGAATACATGCATATTATACAATAGGTGCAAAAACCATACAAGGCTTGTCTGCACCAACATATTATGAAAAACATTTTTAGTTAATTAATATATAAAGTTGAGTTCAATCAGCAATCAACACAGTTCTATGAGTGTCCTAACGTGTTCCATTGAGAGTTACATGCATAATTATATTACCAAAAACCACTGATATTTAAATCCAAATCTCATGAAAATAACAATAAATAAATAGTATTACTAAGAAACAATGAGAAAGAGCACAATAGACTATAACAAATAAATAACAATATCTTATAAAATTTATAAATCTAACAAAACAGAAACAAATATAGCCAACACCTGAAACAAGCATATAAATAGATAATAATTTAAACATTCAGATAACATTCACTGACAGAAAGACCAGTATCTATATTAAACCACTCCACATTCTTTCTTTCAGACTAGTTTTAAAAGCTCGATAAGTGGTCAAATTAAAAAAATAATTTGGCAAGTTGTTGAACATTTTTGGTACAAGGACTTCTAGAGACCTGCAACCATATTTATTTTTAAATCTGGGAACATTGTAATAGTTTCTTCTCACCCTGTAATTATGATTAAAGTGCAGCCATAGTTTGAATAGGCTTATTGCAATAATGCTCAGGTAATATCAACAGGGAGTCATAAGTTACCGGTACTAGCTTATTGGCCTACCCTAGCCTTTTATTAAAAAAAAACTTGTCGACCAGGCTAATGAAATAATTGAAATATCGAATAATCAATTATTTCATTCGGTTGTTCTTGACAACAGATAAGTTACGGAAGTCTCTTTACACACTGTCTAACGTACTTAGATACTACTCTAAACTAAGTTTTGCTTTTCATCAGCACCAATCCTTGTTCTCCCAATCACCTAAAATGTTCTATAAGACGTGTTTAAACTGTTCCTAGACACCAAAACTAACTTCCTCAAATGACTTTTTTGTTGTCGAGGCTTCCTTTGACCCCTACAATTTCATATACAGTATATCAGCAATAACTTCTACCATATAACTTTGGGGGCCAGTGGGAATTACAGGTTTTGGGTGAGAGTAAAAGCTCTTGATGTAGTCTTTCCTCAGTTCACGGCATATTGCCAATGCCACTTTAGGCACATAGCGGCATGCCGATGATTCTGAAATATTAGTAACACTTTCTTCCACAAAGGTAACCAATTCAGGGGTAATCAAATGGGTAATCAATTCAATTAGTTCTCTCACAGATCTTTTTGAAAATCTATAACTATCCTTGAATTTATCCTCACTTAAGTCATCAAATGGATTGTTTTCCCGCTCACGACGTATTCGTGGCCCATGAAAACGGCAAAAATCATGATAATCAATGTAATCCATAATCTCCTTAAACTTTAACGCAAAAAAAGGTTTAGGTTAAAAGTGGACGACTAAAATTAATCCTACCCCTATGCAGGATTAAAATCTAGCATGTTTTAGTCCATGGACTAAAGCATAATTTCTTTAGTTCAGACTTTTTTTTTTTTTTTGTCCTAGGACGCTAGGCACGAGCCTGGGATTGTTTTTCACATTACTTCAGGCTAGACCTAGGGGTTGCGGCATTATCACTTAGATTAAATCCATTGGTGACTTGGCGGGGATCGAACCCGGGACCTCAGGGACTGTAGTCCCGCGCTCTAACCACTACGCCAGCTCGCTCCCCTTAGTTCAGACTTAAAAACTAGTTCTTGACTAAGATTAGTCGCTGACTTATAAGTACTCGAATCAGAAAGATATTTTTCTTAGTCCAGTACTAAAATGAGCTTTAGTCTAAGACTAGCGCTAATACCTGAATCAGAAACCCGCCCTTAATTTGTCAGATATTAAACTATTTTTATAACTTCCAGGCTGGGCAACAAAACAAACTGTTTGTGACTTCCCAGGGACAACCAATCAAGATGGAAACTGAAGAACAGATTATGGACGTCCACGTCACATGACGGACCCCGACCTTAACTCAAAGTAAATCAGGGATGAGTTAAAAACAATCAGTTGTCTTGTGAAATATGTACATAGATGTTTTTATTTGGGATTACCCTCTCTAATTTATTATTTCGTAATCATACTGTCACAGTATATTTTAGTTGTAATCAATATACAAGAAATATAAACAAGGTATGGATGTTATTAATTGGTATCTTATTTTCTGAGTTGACCTATTTTCTTTTATGATACACTACATCAAAACCTGGCGTTGCCCAGGTCTAAATACCACGCACAATAAAAACACAGAAGTCCTTAATCAAAATGTTTATTTTTCTATCCTCCATTTGCAATCTTTTCAATTCCCTGTTGTTACAATACAATCTTACTTTGCAATATTTTTCCCTGCAGCACATTCATATTTGGCTTTGCTGTCCCCAGCAGCACATTCGTTTGGCTTTGCTGTCAGCTGTCAATATTCTTTGTTTATTTTTAAATATGAATATTTAATAGATAAGACATTGGAAATTGCAGAGCCACATGGGTGGAGGGAGCCCCAAGGGAGTTCAAAAATGGGAATGGGACAGAAACCTTCCCGTAGTGTATAGAACAACTTCCCAAAGCTTCATCACGATCGGATAGCCGGTTTGGTAACGCATAAAGGACAAACATAGATTTGGTTTTATAAATATAGATTAAGAAAGAAGGAATGCATACACAACTAACCTACTGAAAATAAAGAGTTCCAGGCAGTTGAAAGCACACAAGTTTACAACATAATTAACTTGATATTTCGCACCAACTAGGGGCTTCTTCAGATGAAAGATCTACTTCTTTATTCTGAAGTAGCTTGTAGGGACGAAATATCTAGTTGAGAGTGTCCGGAACTTTTTGTGTGCTGGAACTCTTTTTCTTAAGTAGGGGAGAGTGGGGAGGGTTGGGACATTCATTTTTAACCTATTTAAGTTGGTATCTCTGCTCTCTTTTTTCTACAGCATATATTTCCCTCTTTTCTTTCTCCTTGTGAAGTTTGGCAGAGCTACCTGACACTGTTCAGTTTTTATAAAAGTTTTAACTGATTTTTTGACAAAATCTCTAGTATTTTGACGCAACTTATTGGATGGAAATCTACCAAAATAAAACTGTTAAGGCAAGTGCAATATTTTTGTTGGATACTCCAATGATTATGGAAGATTTTGATTGCTTATAAATGAAGCTAACTTTTGAAGTTATGTTTCAGTAATTTTATTTGTTAAACCATGTGCTTGAGGGAGGCATGGGACAGTAATATGAGGGAGGTTTGGGACAGTGTCCTGAAGTGTACTAAACCAGTGGAAGACGCTGAGCTGAGTGTGATGGCCTTAAAAGCTATAGACACCACTAAAAAAGCGTTTATTGCAAGAGAAGATGTGTCATGCATTATGTTGGGAATGTACTTGGTATTTTACTGTTTCCCAAAATAACAACGCAAGTCGATAAGGTCAGATTTGTTTTCATAAAAAAACAATGTTTTTGAAAAGTAATAAAACTTAGTAGGCCTTCCTTTATCGTATACTACAAGTTCTGTTACCTAAAGAATGAATAAATGCAGTTGTTTACTTTGAAAAAAACATTCATTCAATATGTTCTAACCCTCCCCAACTGGTGTCCCAAGCCTCCCTCATAGAGGGAGGTTTGGGACACTTTGTACAGTAATAGTATTAAACGCATAACTACAAAATTAATTGAATTTCAATCATCTAAACTACTTTATTTTATTACTGAATCAATAATACTTTCATGTAACTTTTGTTTGTTAACCTAACTCAACTACAAAAAATAAATAATCAAAAAGTGTCCCATTCCTCCCCCCTCTCCCCTATGTTAGTTGTATACCCTTTCCTTATTCCAAAATTTATTTTGAGGCAAAGTGCTTAAACCTAAAAAAAGTTAAAAACTACAGTATTTTTTTTATAAAATACCGATTCAAGATATAATGTTTAGCCATAGCTTTGAAATAATTTATATTAATTCAAATTCACAACTCTAAAATGACTAAGTTTAAGTGATTGAATGGTGTCCTTAGCCATTTCCATAAAATTATCTTATTATTCAGGGATAAAGTAAATTTAAATTACAAATAATTCCAATAAATACAATTTATTAGAAGTATACAATGTGTTACAAATATATACATGGGAAGATTTCAACCACTGCAGCAACAGCTCAGCGGTTGGTTTATGTAAAAAACACGCACAAATACATCTAGAACCTGAAACGGCAACAGAAAATAATTAGTCGGACTAGACCTATTTTGGTCAAAAGAATATCACACAGTAAACTTTTAGGTAACTAGTGCATACTCATTTCACTTCTTACAAATCATTAACCCCTTACATAATTATAAAATCAAAGTAATTTCAAACAAACAAAACTTCTGAACTAAACCTAACACTACATAAAAAAATAATTTAAATTTTGAGCCAGCACAAATGGAAAATATTAAGTACAACACACAACAATGTTAATAAAGAAAGTAAGACAATTCACAAAAACAACATTTTTACTCTCTTATGTTTGTTCTCTAGGCCAGATTTGTCACTGTTGGTCCCAAGTTCTTATTTGGTTAAGTTGCTAGAACTCTCTGATTTCTTTTCTCTTTTACTTTCTATGTCTGTAACACAAGCCACTAGCAACTTACCTAGAGAGCTGATGGATTAAAACTTGTCCACCAACTGAAGAATGTGCTGCTGTTCCATCTCCTTCCATTCTGAATCCCCTGCATCGCCCAGGTTTCCTGCATACTCTGCAAGAAAACACTTAAGGTTAATGGAGAAAACCTATTGCTAAAAGGAATAGTGGGAAAACATTTATTTTGAAACTTTGAAAACTATTGAGTGTACATAATGAACCTTTAGTAAAGGCTTTTAAATAAGTTAGTGAATCTTAGGAGGAACAGTTATTTATGTTAAAGGATGTTAAAGTACCTACCACCATAGCGGAACACTACTGCACAATTAGAATTATTACGGAACACTACTGCACAGTTAGAATTATTACGGAACACTACTGCACAATTAGAATTATTACATGTTGTTATTACATGTTACATATTGGCTGATTTAGTTGTCAAAGCGCTCTATCCACTAAGCTACTAAGGTACTGTCCTGAGGGCTCAAGTTGAAATCCAGCAGATCAACTGTCTTTTAGCTCTGTGATAATGCCTAGACCAAATGACTCGGAGCAAGGCTATGGATAAACCTATTTAACTTGAAAGTTTTGTAGCCTCCGAAGAGGAACACTTTCTCTTGTGTTGGAGAAATCCCTCTACAAAAGCCCATACATTTTTTTTAAATTACATGCGGTTAAGCAATAGGACACAAAAAGTAAACAATGTGTGTCTTGTTAAGCAAATAACGAATCGCTCAATTACGTACTGTAATTGATCATACTTATGTGTGATTCATTCCATTTAATTGAAATTAAGGTTGGCAAAATTATTTCGAGATATTTCAGTCGTTGAATAATCGTAGAACAGATAAGTAAGTCAAAATTCATGTTTTCGGCCCCTGGACTATATTGTTAAGACAATAATAGGTTTTTTACATACCTCAGTCAAATAGTCCAAAAATGGTAGCCTTCGCACAACACCTGGTTGATTCAAATCACTCAATGAGTAGCATTGACGATGGTTTAAAAATTCTACATGTCTGTGGGAAAGGTAGCAAACTTGACACCTTGGAGGAGTTCGAGATTTATAAAATTTATAATGACGAACAGTGTAAGGACCACATCCTTAACGAAAAATTACAGTTCCAGTCTCACTTGATTTTTAATACAATATTAAACTCGGGAACAGCTGATCGAAGATCTGATAACAGTAGAGGAGACGACGTGACGTGACCTCCAGTCTGCTACCAGCCCCGCGCCGCGCCGGACCAAATCAGTATTATGATAGCGCTATCTAAATGTCAATTGTGTATTCGTACCGTATTAATGTCTTCTGTGTTCGTGTTTGTGTTTTAAATGTGTTTTTGACGAGTTGCAAGCTTTGATAATGTTGTCTTCGCAACGAAACATGTAAGCTGTTGAGCAATACCATTTTTGGACTATTTGACTGAGGTATGTAAAAAAGATAAGTAAGGTACAGAGGAAACATTAAATGGTACACTAGTGGTGTCTAGCACTAGTACTGGTGGCAAGGGGAAAGGCCAACACCGCCCCGCCTTGCTCTCATTGTACTACAACGCTCAAGGAAGCCCCTGTGCCCTATGATAGAAATTTCCACACAGTGCTCGTCATTCAAGCTCTTCCTTGCTCGTCACAAGTATATTTCCACAACATACCAGAGCTGAGCTCTCGGTTGTCCCATAGCGTGTTTTCTCAGTACCATACTTCTCTGTGCAGTAAGCAAGAAATTCTCAAGACTTGGTAGTTTGTTTGAAGGCCTAACAGTTTATTTGTACCACGATTTAATTTAGACAAGATTATACCTTACTTCCTGTTTCTGAATACATTATTTACTTGTGGATGCTAAAGTATACCTCCCATCTATATGGACCAGCTGCAGGCAAATTATTTGGATGAAACGTAACCACTTACAGTGTGTGCTTCTGTCAAACAAAACTCTATTTTCTTTCTATTTATTAATTATTTGTTTGGCTTAGTTAAAAAGTAGGCGTATTTGACAGAAATCAGCGCACTCTGTCGGTGGCTCCTACTGTACATCTACTGGTTACAACTTTAACACAGAAATTAGATCTGTTGTCTGGACCTACCTCTCATTACGTGACGTATAGTCTTCAGTGAGCCGCCTCTCAAGTTGATTATCTGTACAACTCGCTGCTTTATACTAGTGATGCCCGATGTGCACACTTCCAGTACTATGTAGTCTATCAACTGAAGAGTAAACAATCCACCTTCCAGGCGCTTCAAATAGTTCTCATCTTCATTCTCCTCGTCGTTACCCTGAAAATTAACACAATTTTACTATATTAAGGGGTTTTTCTAGATTAGTTCATAATTATTTAAGGTAGAAAAATCAACAGTAAGGTCATATATTTTTGTTGGTTAAGATATTTCTAGATGCAGCTTTATTGAATGGTTTTATGAAAGCTGTATTTATCATTTGATTATCAATTACTGTGACTCGGTAACGTGTTACCTTCCGCTGACTGTCCAGTGTGGCGTCTACCTCCTCTACTTTGTCCAGATATTTGAAGTGCAACTCCAGCAGACGGTCGACCTTCTCGTGATCGTTC